AATCCTACTTCCGTAGTGATACTGCCTTGGAAACCCAAGGAGGGGTCGCTATGAGTCGGGGCCGACTTGATGGCACATAACAACAACAACAATGGCTAATGATCGTGAGCATTTCTTTATATGTTTGTTGGCCACCTGAATATCCTCTTTGGTGAATGTCTTCTGCCCATTTTTTAATTGGATTGTCTTTTTGTTATTGAGGTGTTGGAGTTTTCTTTAAATCCTAGAGTCCCTTGTCAGACATGTCATTGCCGAATATTCTTTCTCAATCTGTAGGTTCTCTTTTGACTCTTTTGGCGGAGTCTTTGGAAGCACATAAAAATTTAACTTTTAGAAGGTCCCATTCATCTAGTTTCTCTTCTGGTGTTTGTGTATTTTGGGTTATGCTTGATAGTCTATTTATGCCATATATTAGGGCCCTTAAATTTGCCCTAGTTTTTCCTTGAGGAACTCGATAGTTTTAAGTTTTACATTTAAGTCTTTGATCCATCTGGAGTTAGTTTTTGTGTATGGTGTGAGGTATAGACCTCATTTTTCTGCAAATGGATATCCAGTTTTGCCAGTACCATTTATTAAACAAACATTCTCTTCCCCATTTAATGGATTTACGCTCTTTGTCAAAGATCAGCTGACCATAGGTCGATGGACCTATTTCTGGGTTCTCAGTTCTATTCCATTGGTCTATGTGTCTGTCATTGTACCAATTCCAGGCAGATTTGACTACTGTGGCTGTATAGTAGGTTTTGAGATCCGGTAGTGTGAGATCTCCTGCTTTGTTGTTCTTCTTCAATAGTGCTTTGCTTATCTGGGGTCTCTTTCCTTTCCATATAAAGTTGTTGTTGTTGTTATGTGCTGTCGAGTCAGCCCCAACTCATAGCGACCCCTCCTTGGGTTGCTGAGGCAGTATCACTATGGAAGTAGATTGCCCCGTCTTCCTTCTGAGGAGTGGCTGGTGGGTGTGAGCCGCCAGCCTTCTGGTTAGAAGTCAAGTGCCTTTAGGCACTATGCTAGTGACTGGTTTTTCCATATCCTTAAAAAAAATGTTGATGGGATCTGGATTGGGATAGCATTGAATGAATAGATTGTTTTGGGTAGAATTAACATTTTCACAATGTTCAGTCTTCCTATCCATGAGCATGGTATGTTCTTCCATTTATGTAGATTTCTTGTAGGTTTCTTGAAGTAGTTTTTTATAGTTTTGTTTGTACAGGTCTTTTGTATCCCTGGTAAGATTTATTCCCAGGTATTTTATTTTTGTGGTAGCTGTTGTAAATGGTATTGATTTCCTTATTTCTTTTTCAGCAATCTCTTTGCTGGTGTAGAGGAATACAGCTGATTTTTGGACGTTGATCTTATATCGTTCCATGATGCTGAATCTTTCAATTAGTTCCAGTAGATTTTTTACTGAATCTCTTGGGTTTTCTAGGTATAGGATAATATCATCAGCAAATAGGGATAGTTTGACTTCTTCCTTACCAATTTGATGCCTTTGATTTCCCTTTCTTGCCTTATTGCCCTGCCTAGGACTTCCAGTACAATGTTGAATAGAAGTGGTGATAGAGGGCATCCTGTCTGGTTCCTGTTTGCAAGAGAAATGGTTCCAATCTCTCTCCATTAAGAATAATGTTGGCTGTTGGTTTTGCATAGATGCCCTTTATTATATTGAGGAATGTCCCTTCTATTCCTATTTTGCTGAGTTTTGATCAGGAATGGGTGTTGGATTTTATCAAATGCCTTTTCTGCATCAATTGATGTGATCCCGTGGTTCTTCTCCTTTGTTTCATTTACGTGGTGGATAACATTGATTGTTTTTCTAATGTTGAACCATCCCTGCATACGTGATATGAACCCCACTTGGTCATAATGAATGATTTTCTTCATATGTTGTTGGAGTCTATTAGCTAGGATTTTGTTGAAGGTTTTGCATCCATATTCATGAGGGATATTGGTCTGTAGTTTTCCTTTTGAGTGATGTCTTTGCCTGGTTTTGGTATCAACATTATGCTTGCTTCATAAAATGAGTTAGGGAGGATTCCATCCTTCTATAGGGTTTTCTTAGCTGTAATCTTCATAGATAGAGATCACCAGGCTTTTCTTCCACAGCACCAGTAAGTGGGTTCAAACTACCAACCTTTAGGTTGATAGTCCAATGCAAATAATTCGCTTCACTTAGAGACTTTGTTGATCCATATACCAGGATATTATTACAATTTTCATCCCCCACGTCATCTATAAAGACATACACAAGCCCACTTGGCATCTTCCTGGCTTCCTGCCTCAGCTCCACACCTTACCCCTTAAACTCTCATATCACTTCTGTGGGAAATGTATGGGCTGATTCCTTTGAGGGTTTCCTATCCAGATCAACAGCAATGATGACAGTGGTGTGCTTGCTGGGAATTGGAGTGGCAGCTATCCAGGTGGCCTGGACCCAAGGAACTGGAACGGCAGCGTGGAGATCCTCAAGGAATGGAAGAGATCCAACTTCAAGCCCGTGAAATATGGGCAGTGCTGGGTCTTTGCTGGAACCCTCAATACAGGTACCTTGGGTGTGATATCCTTTTACTGGATCAGGGGCAGCAAGGTGGTGCACCAAGCTGCCCTCTCCACTGCAACCCAAGTCCTCAGACTGACTTTGACTTGTTGCAGTGTTGCGGTCTCTTGGAATTCCCTCCCGAGTGATCACCAACTTCAACTCGGCTCATGACACAGACCGAAACCTCAGTGTGGATGTGTACTATGATCCCATGGGAAACCCCCTGGACAAAGGCAGTGACAGTGTGTGGTGAGTAGCTAACCCTTTCCTGACCCTGGAGCACCCAATCTGGGCAGCATCTTGCTCTCCCCATTCTCCTGGGGCCCAGCCCCAAACAGAAGTTGGGAGGCAATGCATGGTTTAGAATGGAGATGCTAACGATGCTGAGTAGACATGTAGCAAAACTAAAAGCACCTGTGCTCAGGGTTCTGTCTCTGTCGAGTCCCACGGTCTGCTCTAGCCTATTGTCAGCTGAGTGGTCTGACACCAGTGAAAGAGTATGACTGAGGGGCTCTGCAGAGCCTGTGTTTCTTTAGGAGATAAAAATTGAAATTATTGATTTTCTAGTAAGAAATAAAAAATTATCTCATTTCAGGCATCACATATCACTTATGGTGTTTCTTAAAGAGAGTGAAACAACACATTTCCCTTATCATATATACTTACTGTGGTCCTTGGTTGATAGAAGGAAAAGCTAAACATTTATGGTAGATTCCAGCTGAAAGTAAAAAGCTTTAGATATAACTGGGCATATATGTTTCTAACTAGAAATATTCCATGTGCATTTGTATACACACCACACAAACACACATAGTTTATAATAGAAGTCAACTGAAATGAGGTTATATAAAACTTAGACACATACCTGTAACAGTTTATGGCAGCATAGTACATAAGAATAGATGTTGTTACAGCTATTCAAGGTTATACCAGATGCCAAGCTATTGCCAGATGGCAGCTGAAAATAATTATTTATCTATATCTATATATACACATGGATATCTCCGTGTGTCCATATATATAAATAACACAGACATATGTCAATACTCCATTGTTTTAACCCATTTTAAAGGATGCACACACACACACACAACTCACCCATATATATATATATATATATATATATAGCAAGATAATCTCATAGCATTTATTACCTTATTTC